TGTATGCTGATGATACAATACTTTATTATTCATCTCCTAATATTGATAATGTTGTACATAACTTAAATGTTGACCTTGAAAGCATTAGAAAGTGGCTTATTAACAATAAACTTACATTAAATGTACAAAAAACAGAATGTATGTTTATTGGTACAAAGAAAAAACTTTCTAAATTATCAAACAGTAATGTTAATTTGTATATAGAAAATAATTGTTTAAACAGAGTTAGTTATTGCAAACACCTTGGTATTTATATCGATGAAAATTTATCATGGAATAAGCAAACTGATAATGTAAAAACTAAAGTTCTGCTAGGTTTGTACTATTTAAAAAAGACTTCTAAATTTCTATCAAATGATCAACAATCTCTTATGTACAAAACCATAATATTGCTCCTCATTTTGAATACTGTAACCTAGTATGTGTTAGATCTACTAAAATACAAAAAAACAAATTACAAGTCTTACAAAATAGAGCAGCAAAAATAATTCTGAAAAAAAGAAAAGATGATTCAAGTACACAAGCTTTGCAGACCTTAAATTGGGAAAAATTAACCAGGTAGCTTTTGCGAAAGTTAATGATTCCCTTAGAAAGTTATTGCTTAATCAAGTAATTTACGAGATAAGAAAAGCTAAATTCCAATATGGCCAACGCAAGGTGAAATGTCTACGAGAAACTGAACCCAGGAGGTGGCACAGGGAAATCCGCAATTTAACTAACTTAAGCCCTCCCATCCACCACAATAACATTGCCTTCCCCTGTGCCATCTCCTCAAATCTACCCTTAGAAAATATACCAGGATCTCCACAATATCTCTATTGCCAAATCAGGAGGCCCTGATGGGACCCCTCCGAAACTTCTAAAACTTTGTACCTATGAATTCAGCAAAACCTGTTACGGAATTGATTAAAGTGTCCCTCTCAGTGGAAACAGGCGAATGTCATACCTGTCCCTAAGGCTTTTCCCCCTACATTACATAAATTAAGACCTATATGACTCACTTCTACTGTCTCTAAAATTGCAGAACGTAAAGTAACTAAAATCGTCCTTGATGCTATTCAACCTAAGCTTGATTTCAGACAATTTGGCAACCAAAAAGGCATTTCCACCACCCATTGCCTCATTGACATCTACCATTATATTATGACAAAATCTGAAATCCCCAATAATGTACAGTATATGCACTCACTCTCACTGACTTCAGTAAAGCATTTGATCTTGTTGATCAAAAAATTGCTATTTTTAAATTGTTTGAGTTAGATGTACCGCCCTATGCATTGCTTTGGATTACTGATTTCTTAATTAGTAAATGGCAAATGATAAAATATAAATATACATTATCAGAATGGGTAAAGTTGTCTGGAGGTGTTCCCCAAGGAACACTACTAGCAGTTATTACTTTCTTGGTCATCATCAATGATGCTCTCCATGATTCCAATAATGCTGGGATCCCGGTCTGGAAGTATGTCAACAACCTCACCATGGAGGAATGTACTAAAGTGGGGATAATGAAAATTGCAAATATTTCTTGATAACTTATCTGAGTGGGCTACAAATAATAAACTAAAATTAAACCCTAGTAAATGCCAAATTATGCTGATTTATTTTGGTCGCTGCCAAATTCCAGACCGTGATCTCACCATTCCGTTGGTAAACTTGGTACAAATTTTAGGTGTTACATTTGACTCTGATCTTAAGTGGGAAAGCAATACATCAGCAATTGTAAACCAGAGCCTTGCAGGCGTCGACGTTTCTATGCATGATACATGACTTAACCAACCATATTTTCTGATTAAGTCATCATAAATGACATAATCAGAAAATATGGTTAGG